TCCATCATGCCCCGGTTTACCTCCCAGGCACTCATGCCTCTTAGCTGTCCTGAAACAAAATTAAACAAATAACTTACACAGAGACTTGAAAAGGAAAGTAATACAGATAATTAAAGGGTTAGAAAAAGAGTAGAAAGTATGGAATTATTCAATCTGAGTAACAGAAAGTGAAAGAAAGACATACTCATGATATTTAACAGAAAGAATTTGAAAATCCTTCTCAAAACTAAAAGGAAGACTAAGTGACTTTCTGTCTCCACTAAAGACACATTCCACGATGGAATAATTGTCATTTCTTCAAGAAAAATCAAGGCAATTCCAACATGGCATTGTGAGACAAAAGAAAAAAACATTGCACTATGTTCACTGTAGAGAGATCTCACAAACACCACTACTTCGAAAGTCACGTTCAGATTATTAAAGATGCTGCAAGAATTGGGGGACAAATCGAACATCAGGACAGCGATGAATGTTAAACAATTAAGAAACACTATTACTTACACAGCAAAAAATATACAAACCAACCAACCACACAACCACAACAAAAAAGCAGCTTCCTAAAACATTTTCTCCATCAAATGGGCAAGGCTACACATTGGATAATTTGTTCCTACTTGGATGATGTCATCATACTAGGTTTAACTTCTTTTAATAACTAGTACATATCAGTCATCTCTCACTTTCTCCCACATAAGATCAAGCCAGCCTTTCAATGACCTACTTCATGAGTCATAATTTTTCTGTTTATGATTCAGAAAAATGTCTTCAGTCAGTATTTCCCAGACTGTTGTGGGTTTATTCCAAGAACCAATTTCATCTTCATTGGTTTCCTACAGGAAACCAGACCAACTTCCTATTATTTTATTTTCCTTACTTTTAGCATACCATAGCCCACATCAAATTAACTGGAAGTGAGAGTGATAGGAGACTTTATTCTGTACAAACAGAAGCCAAAACAAACAATACCCAGTCTAGAAGTCACAGATTCAAAATTAAATGCAAATATGTGCTAATATTAGAACCTTTTTTCAAAAGGACACCAAACCAAATCACGAGAAGTTTATTTTAATTAATTTTATGGCAAATATTACACTGTCAGAAATAACTTTTTGTCTAAATATATCTATAAATACAATAAATTTTACAAAGCTGATTAATATAGATAAATTAACTATAAGAAATAAAATATGCATTTTTCTATCCTAATTCCTTCCCTAACAAGCTACTAGAAAAAAAAAAAAAAATCAAACAACTGCAACCCACCATGGAGAGCCTTGAAGAGGTTGAGGGAACACAGTAGAATGCCGCCAGCAGCCTAGCAGGAGAGCAGTCCGTGATCACAGGGCACCATCATCCCAGTCCCCTACCCAAGCCCACTCTGGCCATGACTAAGCCTGTCCTCAGATCACAGCATCAACAGCAGTCTGGAACAAGGTATTTTGAAGGACATCCTAAGAGGACTTTGTATTCATACTAAGTACTTGAGAAGTATTTATTATCTCAGACTGTGTACTGTTCAGAAAAAGAGGTTTCTGAATATGAAGAACTTTGGTATAAACATATATCAGAGTCTCTCCATTCTTATTATTTCTGACTGCAGATGTAGTTTTGGGCTTTAAAAGCTCACTGAGTCATTAACTGGTAAGTTACAGGATTATTTTATATCAAACTCAAAAATCGATACATTAAAGGAGAAGGTCTAAGAAGAATGCATTTAAGGTACATATTCTATATGGATAAACCAAGAAACCTGAAACACTAGAACAAGGGTTCTCAAAGTATGGTTCCCAGACCAGAGGGACAGCATCATCTGGACACATCCTAAAAATGCAAGTTCTAAGACTCCACCCTCAACCTAAAGAATCAGGGATTCTGAAGAGAGGCCTAGCAACCCACATATGATGTTGTAAGCTGTATCTATCATATTCTCTCTTGTCCCTCTACATAAAAATCTCTGGGGGAAAAAAATGCATTCAATTTGCATTTCCCTTATAACCTCTCAACTTCTAAACCCCTTGCACTCTGGCTAAGTTCTTCTATCAGGTCCCTAAAATGTTCCTTTCAAAAGCTGCAAATCCTCACTGGCCTAACTGGCAAGGCCAATGACTTTTCCTGGACCTCATGGTCGTAGCCTTATCCCCTCTTGCTTGCACTGACCTGATTTCTTGACTGCCATGGCACAATCCCACCCTCTGCCTCCTCCACTCCTGTCATCAGCCCTACTCATCCTCTTCCCACCCTCTCACTATAGGCATGTTTCCAAGATTGAATCTTCAGTCCTCTACCTACCTTTCCCCAGTTACTACTTGGCGTCTTTAAGACCTCGAGAGTTGAATATATACCTCTGTACCCTAGATCTCTCTCAAAACTCATAGCATAGTTTAAGCTAACTTATAACCTGCTTCCCTTGAATGTCCTTCAAGTAATGTCAGTAAAATGTTTCCAAAAGGGAGCTTCTTTCTCCAGCCCCACTCCCACAGTTCCTCCTTGAATGGCTGTTTCTAGTACTGGCACCACTGACCCTCTGGTCCCCTGGGCACTGGAGCCCTGGGTTTCCCTCTTCTCTAGTGACCACATCAGTACACAGAGGAGTCAGCCCCACCTGGCATCCTGTTTCATTTCTCACCCCCACCCCCATTTCTAGTGATACCACCCTCATCCAGCAACTTCCTAGCTCTTCTTAAGCCCTACCTCTAGACTCTTACCTCTAAAAGTCATCACTGAATAGATCTCCCCCACTGTTCAAAACATAGGGAGGCTGCCCAGGCACAGCCTAGTTTCCTACCTGGCCTTATCTCACATTTCTCCTATTGGTTCTGCTCAGCTTATCTAGAATGCTCATGATGCTGCAAACATGTCCCAAGTTGTTTCACTTCTCTTTGCTTTACATTACTACCACCATTTCAATTATTAGTTTCCCACCATGTCTGTACCTGACCTCTCTATACCTCAACACTAAGGCCAGTGTCAATTCCACCTTGCACTATCCATAATACCCTCAGACGGAAGTTCTCTCTTAATCTCCTCTAAAGAACCAGACATTTGTGCAAATCACCCCTACTAAAGTTGAAACCCCCACAGCAGAAGTATATCTGACACAACTTTTTGTCCTCCACTGTACCAGGCATGATACCCTGCATGAGGTATGTACTCAATAAATATTTGTTGGAAGATTAAATGACCTTACAAACCAAAATTCTCACTTAAGAGTACTATTTCTGTCCATTAACCAACCTTTAAGAAAAGTAGCCAAAATACAATAAAAACAGATAAACTTCACAAGTTGCAACGAAGAGGGGATCAACTCCATCTTCTATGCTTTCTATTATTTATAGTACAACTATACCAGAATGATAACAAAACACTATCATGCTCACTACAACTAAGAAAACCAACTATATCATATTTCTGAATTATAAATACGTTTTGGAGACAGGAAAGAATCAGCCCATTTAATATTAAAATGACAAGGGGAAGGCCTTCTATAAATAAACCTTTATAAAATTTTTCTGCATCTTCCATTACAATTTATAGCTCCTAGAAGTGATAAACTATCTACAATTACAAAGGAAACTTCTTAATCTAAAGAAAACTGAATAACAGAATGTTCATTCCAAAACATTCTGTTTTGTCTGGAAGATACTCTCATAGCTGGCCAGGAAGGTCAAGAAGCAGCCAGATGAATTATAATGTGGAAGATAGACTGACTGCCTCAATTAGGGAAAAATAAAGTCTTCATTCCTGGAATAGTAAAGAGTCACTGCTTCTCTATAGGAAAGAAGGGATGTAATTTCTCAAGCATAGTATGCATAAAAGACTTTTCAAAATGAAAAAACACACGGAGAATCATTTAGAAAAATAGCTCTGCTCTAACTTAAACACCTTGGTACCTTTCACAGACTTTGGTGAAAGTCCGGATATAGAACAGAATCATCACAGATTAAGAAAAAAAAAAGTTTTTTCATCGACATCACAGGCAGGTCTTTATTCATCAGTATGTAGTCGTCCTTCGAGGTTAATGTTTTAAAGAGATATGTATAATGAAGACTGACACTCAGTTCTAAGATTGAGTTTATTGCTATGTTTCTCTCACTATATTCTCCACCTGGTTTCATTTTATCTACTTCATTATTTCTTCCCTAAACAAGCAAAGGTATGTGGAATAGGTATTTAGCTTCCATTATATGCAAACTTGGGAATACAGAAAAATAGCAAATCATCTAAAAAAAAAACCTTTCTGAAATAAGACTCCTTATAACTTAACAGTTACTTGCTTTTATTTCTAAAGTCCACTAACCATCCTAAGTATCTAAATAGAACTTGTATCATTCGTGACTTCAGATTTCACTCATTCATGTGAGCAGGAGGCCACAGCAACAAAAACTTGAATTAAGCAGATCACTAGAACCCTAAGGATGGGCCTGTGATGTTTACCATGATTCCTTCCAGAAATGAGAATAGAGGGGAAAATCCACATTAGCTATACCACATTGAGGAGGAGACAGACTAAAAAGCTTTCTTCCAATGATTTTTACTATTCACATTTTAAAAAGTTAATTCAGCTAATTTTAACATATTATTGGGACTCAAAAATATTCCCTCAGCCAGTAAGTTAGCCACTATCAAAAATTAATATTAACACAAAGGTTTTACTTAGTTACATCTTCCAATATTTTAACAACACATTTAATTCACAATCTGTTATTTGAAATGGCAAAAAACACATCCATGGGGTTCATGGCTATAAGGAACAACCCAAAATTAACAAATCGTGCTATTTCAGTATTAGTGGTAAGATTTTATTATATTGTTCAACAACAGACAAGAGACTTTTTAAAAATCTATAAGTACTTCAATTAGTATTAATACTCAAACTAACACTGATTACTCAACTTGAAGACAACCAGTGGTTATACTACTGCACTGAGAAGCAACAGACACCAGTAAAATACAGAACGCCACAAGAACAGAGCCAGAGAAATCATAATGAAAATGCTTACTTTGACGTGGCTCTGGGCTCCAAGGTTGTAGATCTCTGTGGGCTTTACTTCATTAATGATCTTAACAAGGCAGGTACTGTCAGTGAGATCACCATAGTGCAACTTCATGTCTTTAGGATACAAAAACATACTATTAGATAGAGAAAAACAACATAAGCTCAACTTTTTAAAATATCAAAATTGAAATTCAAATATTTTGAAAGTCTGAAAACAAGGGTCAAAATTGAAGTGTTGTGCTGATGGTTCTGGAGAAGAAGAATAGAACTGTAATATTTAATTACCTAAATAATAGAAAGATAGCTACATACTACCTATGTCTGTAAAAGATTTTGGTGGTAAACTCAGACAAACTTTCTTTTAAAGCATAGTATCATGACCATGTTATACAATAATATATCTTAGAGCTCCAGGTGGTTGTAAAATTGTTTTATAAGAATGAGATTCAGAAAAAGAAAACCTTGTAGTAACAAATCTATAACACTGATGATGATAAAGATAGCTCGGTGTTCTTTAGATATTTTTATCTAGCAACTTTTAAATACCTTATAAATATCAATCCTTAAACCCAGCATGAATGCCTGATGTAGGGACATCATTGATTAAAGGACAAAGACTATTTGAACTCCTAAATCTAAACAGATCCTTACACTGACTTCATTAGTATAAGAATTTGACACATGTGGATGGGTGATTTACTAACTTGATCTTTTCATTATTTTTACATAAGGTTGATCTATATCTAGATCCAATGGCAGGACCATTCTGAACTTTGCACAAAAATAATGATTTTCAAAGACAATGTGCTTAATGACTTAAAGCCTTTTCTGTAAAAAAAAACTGCATCATCTTCCTGACGCTATCACTATCTATACGAATAACCCAAACCTTTAAATATTCAGGGGTTGAGGGGTGAATACAAAACCACATATGGTTTACAATACAACTGCATTGTCCTTACTGGCTGGAAAAACTGGCCACATGATGCAGGCTGAACTTGGAGTTAAAATCCCTGTGTCCTAGTGCCAGCTCTGCCTTCTTCATAGTGTGCAACCTTGGAAAACTCATAACCCCTCTGTCTCCATTTCCTCAACTATAAAATGATCTCTAGGTCTCCTTATCCACCTCAGGAGTTGCCATAAGCTCAAACGGGAAAACATTCTGGTTGAGCTATATAAACTGTACAGCTACACGCAGACAAATTAACAAAAACAAAACAATTGCAAAATCTGACAATAATCAGTAACTTAAAACAGTTTTGATTGCCATTTATTTTGGGCCTATCTTCACAAATTATTTAAAAAAATAATTAAATGTACAAAGATTGTTTTAATTGATTAAATTAAACCAAACATAAAAAGCAGGTTTGTGGACTGTCAGTATGGAACTGCTCTTACTTGAGGGGATAGGGACACCTGCAGAGGGGTGATCTAAGACATGCCCTTCCTTGGTCTCTCCAAGTGACCTACTCCATAGCCTTCTAACAGCCAAACCATGATGACACTATGGCCTAGGGCAGTGAGCAGCGAAAGTTTTCAAAATATGCAAATCGCATTCAGTGTAGTAATTCATGGGTAAATAATTGTGACTTGTTGGGCTTTTGCAAAAATGACATTTGAAAACACCTTATCTAAACATAGGAACATCTGAAAACACCTTATAGAAAAAGATTCTAGAAAAAGAAAATGACTTACTTCCTTCAATGTGAGCCTGGGGATTCTTGTACAGATGCTCAATTCGACCCGTATTAAATGAACTGGACCGCCGTACAATCCCATGGACCTGAGTTTTTACAGTGTGGAAAGATAAATGTGCAATGAGGTCTAATAAACAACTTCTTTAGTTAATGATTAGCTTTTTGAAAAAAAATTATTTGTAAGCATTACTTTAAATTATTAGAAATAGTCCCACTGCTTACTTTCTCCCCAACCACTGCCCACCAGCTAACAACATCCTACCTCTGTCTTTCCTCAGTGATTTTACTGCCAATCTCAACAAACATAATCAGGTAATTATGTGACTTCATGCTTAATTGTAGATACTCAAATGTCTCCTTTTCCAAACACACACACTTACAGCCGAACTGCTGACAAAAATATCTCTTCCATGTGAAACTGAAGACAGACCATGTGAGGCCGTATCGGTAAAACAGTGTTTGTGGTCTGTTTAACACAGAGCACAAGGCCATCACATCTTCCCAGTGTCCTCAGAGCTTGCATTTTGCATCTACTGCTTATATTTCTGGAGTTACAGATATAATCAGACAGCAGATGTTATTATGCAGCTAAGTAGAAAAGTCAGAAAGTTAAAGAGCATGGGTAAGAGACAACATTTACATTCTACTCAATTTAAGACCTAAAGAAAACTCAAACGAAGAGAGGATTTAAAAAAAATTTTTATCGTGACTGAACCATAGGTGGGGGGTACAGGGGAAGTTGCTAGAGCAGGAATGTAATGCATACTTGCCTGATATTGAAGAAAAGACTATTTGTGTCTGACACATAAGAGAAATTGTTCCAGACCTGGTCCCACTTCCTTCTCATGTCAAGATTGCTCCCTTTGTGCTGCCAATGCTAACACCAGCTTATGTCACCAAGCTGCCCAAGTTCCAGTTCTACTGGTGGCAGTTTTAATCCTTGACTTATTTTAGAAGTGTTCCTTCTTATGTTGAAAAGTTCATTTGCAGCTGAATATACTTCTACATTTTAACTCAATCGCTTCTGTCTATTTCAAACCAAAATTAATCCTTAGTATGACTATAATATTCAAAATACAAAGGTAAATTATAAAAATATAAGAGTTTCTTTCAAACAGAAAGAAATATCATTTTAAATGGCATGCATGAGAAATTGACTTCTGCAGAGGATACAACATACCCACAATTAATAATTCTGTTGGTTAGCTGCTTTGGGAGAAAAGCACTCATCAACATTATTTTACAAAATAACGAAATCCAAGAAAAGTTGGTAAACACGAAAATATTTTAGGGAAAAAACTTTGTAAACTTGGTTGACATTTTATGAGGCCAACATTTAACCCTAGGAAGTATTAAATTGAGATTTGGCTATACATATCCACTTCTTAATTTAGAAGTGGAGAAAACACTAATATTAAGCTTAGAATTTGTTCTACTTCATGATCTCCAATTTTTCAGGTTGTTACTTAATTGTAAAGTTGAACTGCTCTATAAACTTAATTTTAACAAAAAGTATGTATTTCACATATATACTTATAAACAGAAAAACTTGTGTTTACTATCAAAGTTACTTCTAAAAGATTTCTCAGATGTAAATTCTGTTTTATTAAATAGAAAAGAATGTCTATATTTTAAAAACAGTAATTTAGCTTTGACAATGAAAAGAATAACAATAGTGTTATTTAGGCTATCTTCTCTGGATTGCTGGATTCTGGGGAAGTCACATATTCCAACAGTCCAAAATATAAATATATAGAAATGCCATTTATTAACATATATTTATTAGGAATAAACATAAAAGGCTTTGACAAAAATATTAAACTATTTTGACACATTCCATGTAAAATGCAGATAACCATACAAAGTCACAGCCAGTCATAAGCAAGACTTTACTGTCACACTGAAAATCAAAAGCATTAAGCCATGGTTGTTTTTTTTTTTAATCAAGTGCTTTAATTTCCTCTAACTTCCAACATTTGGTATGTATACACAAGGAAAGAAAGACCTGCCAAATGCTTAATCCATGACAGCAGGTATTATTCTAAGAACTAATGAAAGCTGGGTCTGTCTGCTTCTGAGACAGGTGAAATACAAACGTCAAGACAAGCCAAAATGTGTGCAAACTGCATAATCTAGTTAAGAATTTGAGATTTGCGGCTTTCTCTTTACAGAAGGGATGTAGGTATGGCTTTTTTGTTTGTTTTTATAAGGATTTGGGGAGACAAAGAGATGAGGTGTTAGGAACCAAACTGAAAAGATAAAAGAGCTAAATCTGACTTTATATAAACTTAATCAAAATCATTACAAAATTATAGTAGTTCAAAAAGAAAATATAATTCGGAAAAACTGAGGTCTTAAATGAAAGTTTGACAAATTTCATGTCCCATTTAACAAGGTGATGAAAAGGAAAATTTCAATTTCTTTCCATTTAAAATAAAGTTGGTTTACCTTCAAAATCCACAGTGAGATCAGGTAATATAACTGAGAAGTGTTTTATTATTAATTATGATCAAGAAAATGGAAAATTGTTATCACTGAATTTCAAATTTTTAGTGTCCAGATTTATTGGTGGCCAGGATGGCTCACAGGGATGGTTAATGTCACTCACCTTTTGAAAAGTACAAATTATCTAGGTAATATCAAGAGCTAACACTTATACAGCAATGGTCATGTACCAGACTCTGTTCTCTATACGTATTAAATCACTTAATCATCACAACAACCTTACTATAATATTACTGTTTCCATTCCATGAACGAGGACGTTGCCTGAGATAACACAGCTAGTAAGTCGCAATGTTAAAGGACATAGACTTGGTCAACCCTGCTAATACTCAGTATAGTTTCAAAGTGAAATCCATAGAAGTTTCACCTTTTTTCTAATCAAAGCATATAGGCTTCTGGGATAGCAACCCAGAAGAAAAATAGTTCAAGGATTCTCGTAGATCAAGAGAGAAAGTGTAGCAACTCCATGTTCTAACAAAAAATCTCCCAAAGATAACAATTGGACTGTTCTTAAATCCATTTCTTCCTTATGCTGATACTTCACGTCACAATTTACCTATTCTTTATTTTAAATTCTGATATATTGTGTTGTAGCTGTTACCAAGTTATTTAATATAGATTTTTCATAAAGCCTCAGATTTTAGCTTTTAAAGGGTTCAACTTCGTCTTTACTTCTCTGGTTTTCCTCTGTACTCAGTGGAAAATGGGTACAAAAGTGTGTTGTTGCCTTATCTGCTAACGGTGGTGCTGGAAAGGCACTTGGAACTGCAATATGCTTTCATAAAAACTTTGTTTCTATCAGTCCTCCGTTTTCCCTTATGACAGGAAGAAATGCAAACAGCTCTAGCATCCTAGGTAACAGAATATGCCTGCTACTCAGGGATGCTCATTAATAAATCCAACTAAAGAGCCAATTCAAGATCTGTGTCCACTGGTTTGTCCACATTAGACCCCATATCACTCTGATACCTCTGTATCAATAAGCCCATGAGTCCCACAGAGCTCTACTGGGCTAAGTATATTCCGTGTACTGTCTTATCTTAATCTTCCCAAATACCTCAGGAGATAGATGTGCTTATCATCCCCATTAACAGAAAAGGCAACTAAGTCTCAGAGGGGTTGAGTAACTTGCCCAAGGCCACAGAGCATGCAAGTGGCAAAGGAAGAGCGAGACACAGGTGTCCAGTGCCCAGCCTGAGGCTCCCTTGCCACAGTCAGCTAACCGTCTTGTCCACGCCCCGGCTCTGTACTAGTCAACAGGGATAAAGGAGAATGATCCTCTGCACTTCAGTCATGTGTAGAGTTAAGTGTATAGAGTAATCAAAGGGTGACTGTCCATAAAATCCAACAATCCTTGGGTTTCCTAATTGTAAGATGACATCTATAGATAATAAAGAATGAATGAGTGTTATATCCATTCTCCTTATGCTCTCCTTAACATTTAATCCTGAGCAACATTCAAGAAACAAACATTAAAAATTGTCACTTTAAATTTTTTAATTGAGTCTCTTCTCAATGAGAAGACACTTTTCACTTTTTCACTTCAAATGGTTCATTCAGAGCATGATCAGATGTGTGGATTTCAAAGACCACCTTTGACGGCGAGGCCCCATGGCTTCAGGAATCTAAATGTGTGTGAAGTGACACAAAGTGATTAACCATAACTATTAATCTGTTAGCATACGCTATTGCTTTTTAAGCCATTCGCAAATACCTATTTTTGCTTTAAAGTTAGCTTACTTGTACTTTCAATATGCTTTTCTGCCTTGAGAAAAAGTAAAGGAGTACGTCTAACTGTGCTACATGAATTCCAAACACAGGGTTTGTTTTTGCCTACACCACCCATCAACACTACCCCACCGACCTGGCCCTGCTCTCCTGAGCACTCCCCTCCAGGTGACTGTGGCCTCTCCAAATTGCCCATGCTTCCCAGTTTCAAAAGGCACAGTTGGCCTTACCACTGCTAACTAACCAGTGTGCCTTTCTTTTCTAGAAACAACTCAGCCTCAGCATCAAGCCTCTTCTTCACCATGTTTATCTGTTCCTGGTTTGTCCTCTGCTATCCCCAAGTAGGTTGTTCCCAGTTGTTCCTGACCTTAGTGGTATACCTCATACAACTAAGGTATACCATTATTTTGAATCTATTCAAAATAATACGGTAACCCAGAGAAGCAAGGCCTCACACATTTGAAATCTTAGGGTACCTTGTTCACCTTCATCATATGATTCAATCAATCACCTGATCTCATCTTAACCTTTAGTTGTGGTGGTTTCTCTATCTGTAGTACCCAGGCAAATAATGTCACACTGACTGGGGTCATGTTAGAAAGAACAATTCCCAGAGCCCTGAACCAGCCCTCTGTGTCTTAACTGGGCCTCTGAGTGATTCTGATGCACACTGAAGATTGACAGCCTGAAGTCTGTAGGCATCCAAAATTGCTGATGTTGACCACCACCACTGCCCCCGCCCCGGGTTCACATGTAATGAAGTATGTCCCTCTCTTATCCTACTTCATGCAATCTATTAGCCCTATTCTTTCACTCCTGGCCTTCAGTAATCAGGGACTGGTGCTGAAAATTAGGGAACTTTTCCAATGCAGCCAATTTTAAACATTATTCTAACATTTACTTACTTTGACCTAAGCATAAAAACATAAAGCCCGCACCACTATCAGGTTCCTCCTGATGGCTTATTCTCCAATTATATCAATCTCTTAAAATTGAGGACAGCAGCCTATTAAAATTGAATATAGTACAGAAAAACACATTTACACTCCCACTACACACAGGGAGTTCACATTTTCCCTGGACTAGGAAGAGAACTAATTTCTGATTATGCTTTGTGGCTAGTACTTTCCTGCTATACTGTCAACTGTGTTTCCTTCTATCAGTTTATGGATCTCTCTCCTAAACCTGTTTTCTCTCTCAACCATTGTTTCAGTGATAAACTCCTCCCATTAACTGTGATTTGCCAAGTTGGGCTTCTTTTGTCTTTTTGTATCAGAATACAACCTGCTCTTATAATTTCAAATACCACAAAAACATTTGCAGCTTATCAGGCAGTCCTAGGTTCTTGTTACATCTACTTGCAAATCTCTCATCCTTCCTGTCTTCTGAAGTCTGCTACTTCCTTAAGGAGAGACACCTAAACAGAGATCTGCTTCTCTGCTTTTTACAGTAACACTAACAGTACTATGTGCTTGACGATAGTTACCATCTACACATCCAAACTCGCCCTGTCACTGGGTCCACCATCACTGCAGCGCACAGCCGTGCTCACTCCTCCTCTAGACTAGTCACAGATGCTGCCTGTTAACAGCACCCTAACCTCCAGTCTCAGCCCACCTTGTCCCTCAAGAGTAGATCTCAACACCCAGGTGGTTTTGAGCATCACTCCTGACGTGCCACCTCAGTCTTCACAACTGCAGTGATTTCTGCTCAGCCAGCTCCTTCTCTAGGTTCACTTAATACACAACCACATCACTAGTTCCTCTCTAGCCAGTAAACATCTCAGCTAATCCCAAACTTTTGAAACACAGTATGGGCATCTCTCCGCCAGGCTATTCCTTTTAATATATATTAAGGCCTTAAGTTAATCTAGCCTGAATAAATATAGGTCTTTCTCTAAAACCAACATTTTGTATTAAACATAACCTACTCTAAAACTCTCTGCTCTGTAGAATATGCATTTCTTTCTTGATTATTATAGCAATCTATGCATATGGACATATGTACACATAGGTACTTTCATAATTCCATTTGTTTTATTTTGATATAATCACAAAATGTAGCATTAGCTATTAGATAAGGGTGCTAAACACATCTATTGTTACTTCAAATCTAAAAGTCAAGGTTCTCAGATTCTGAGTTAAAAGAAAATTGACTTTTTTTCTTCAAATACTGTTGGCATTTAGATGTCAAATTCTTTCCTGTTATGTTTCCATTTGCCCCAACTGAACATTTTTAAAACAATGTACCAACAATTAGAATAAAAAGACAATCTTAAATTATTAATGTGAACATTCATAAAGCAGATCAGAGCAAATGAGCACTGTGAAGGTTTCTGTTCTCTGTATAGCACAAATTTATATACATGTATATATATCTCAAAAATGTTCTTTAAAAAATTAAGGTGTACATACTTAGCACATCAAAATTAATATATAACACTTTGTTTCTTTTTTTTTTTTTTTTAAGGAGAAATGGTTAATTCAACAACAAAAGCAGCAAACCTAAAAGTTTTGGCTCCATAAATTATATGGTTGCCTATTAGAAAGGAAAACCTCCAGGTGTAAATTTTTCATTCAAGCTTACCAACGATCAGCTTGGTTTTTATTGCTCTGTGTAATTTCTGAATTAGGTGGCTTCACTGTGAGTAGGACTTTCTTATGAAACACATTACATCATAAATTAACCCGAATACTGTTACAGCTTCAGCTTGAAAAGGCTGCTGCGTTATCGGAGAATGTGGGAAGTGTGCGCTGCGACTGAACACTGTGAATGCAGGGGAGCCACCAGTGCTCACCAACAGATAAACAGCACAATGGGCTGGCAGGCTCACAAGCCCAAAGACACATTCTTCCCTGGATTCTGATTTGTTATCTGCATTTCAGTGGAAAACACACTCAGGAGGACGGCAGCAGAGGAAGCATGTGGCCGCTGCCTGCAAGCAATCCCACCAGCCTGTGCCTGCTTCCCATTGAGTCACCCACCTCATAGCCTTTCTCCAGCAGGAACTCAGCCAGGTACGAACCATCCTGGGAAGAAAAAAAATTGCAAAATGTCAGTCTCATAGTGGTATAGAAAGTTGGTCTAGATGAAGAGTTTTGAGAAAAGTATTGAAAAGGCTACATAAGGATCACGGCAACCTAAAATAAAAATAACACCGATAATGTTGATAAACACCACATGGTGTTCCAACATACCCAAAGCATTTTCACAAACAGGATTCATTTGAGCTCCACAGAAGACAGAGGCTGAAAGTCAAATTCAGTGTAAGTGATATGCAGCAACAAAGAGTACAAAGTTCCACAATCAGATGGATTTGGGTTTAGGTTTTGCTACTTACTAGTTGTGTGAAATATGCAGAATACGTGGGCAGAATGCCTTGGTGTCATAGCAACATAAAGCAGAAATCTTACAATTCTGGGGGCTGTTAAAAAAGGTCACTGGGGGCCAGGCACAGGGGTTCACACCTGTAATCCCAGGGCTTTGGGAGGCCAAGGCAGGAGGATCACTTGCATCCAGGAGTTGGAGACCCACCTGAGCAACACAGTGAGACCCTACCACTACAAAAAAAAAAAAAAAATTGGTGGTGATGGGGTCTCACTATCTTGCCCAGGCTGGGGTTGAACTCCTGGACACAAGTGATCCTCCCACCTTGGCATCCCAAAGTATTGGATTACAGGTGTGAGCCACCATGCCCAGTTCAAAACGTTTTTAAAAATTAGCCAGGCATGGTGGCTCAGGCCTGTGGAACTAGCTACTTGGGAGCCTGAGATGGGAAGATCACTTGAACCTGAGAGTTTGAGGCTGCAGAAAGCCATGATGGCACCACTGCACACCAGCCTGTGTGGCAGAGGGAGACTCTGTCTCTAGAGGGAGAGAAAACAAATCACTGGGGAAAGGATGAGATGGGAGCTAGAGGGATTGGGGAGATGGAAGCGCTATTGTCAAGAGGAAGTGTTGGCATTACTGAAAAAGACTCCATAGTAGAATAAAGAAGGCCAGGGGATATCGAGGAAAGTGAGTACCTTTGGAGGGCTGGCCCTTCCAGGCAATGGCCAGAGCTGGCTGCTAACACTGAAGGTTCTCGAAAGTCACTGAAGGCTTGAAAGGGTTTTAAGGTGGCGGGGAGCAGGGACGGGGGTCAGATTTGTATTACTATGCACATACACATATGAACGTTTTAAAAAAGAAGATATTCATTTTTTGTAAATTAATAAGTATTTCCTTTATATTAATCTTAATTCATATAGCTGCCTTAAAATGAAGGTGTCTGACAAAATACAGACATTCTCAACTGGTTCTTAATTTGCCTTTTAAAACTTTCTGGGTAGGGGTCTTCATTTAATCTACAATATTTCATGTGCCACTTTAGGAGGGAAAGTATGAGAGACATCTAATCAAACTATTTAATAGGTCAAAGGTTCAGCAATCACCATTCTGGAGGTGCTATAAGAAGTCACCAGCCTCTCTCAGAAAATAGATTGGTTAGACATTTTGCAGTCAATCCCATAATTGCTCCTCCACTTTTCACCCAACTAGAGGGTCCCCATCCATCTCATTCAGACTAAAAGACAATGGGAAGCTCCAACCACTGGAAATGTGTGTCCTCAAAAGTGGTTGGGGATGTTTGGTTTTTCTTCAGTTTCTTCTATTTGAATAGGCTTAAAATATCCCTTTGAGCTTCAAAAGCTCTTACCAGATATTCCAGGAGAGAGAAAAAAAAAAAAAGTTTTTTTTATTACTTGACCAAGAGCTGGAATTGGAAACACCTTATGGGTCCTGAAAATGAAAAGCCTGCCAAGCGAGTGTTTACTCCATTAATGCAGAGCCATGCATAAATTCAGGCAGAATGAAAGTAAGGCTAAGCACACAAGGGGCACATTCTGTGATTCATTAAAACCTTGAGCACTTTTATCTTCTTCTTTTTTTCTTTCTTTTTTTTTTTTTTTAAAGATGAGGTCTCACTCTTTCACCCAGGCTGGAGTGCAGTGATATTATCTCAGCTAACTGCAACCTCTGTCTCTGGGTTCAAGTGATTCTCCTGCCTCAGCCTCCTGAATAGCTGGGATTACAGGTGCATGCCATCACACCCGGCTAATTTTTGTATTTTTAATAAAGATGGAGTTTCACCATGTTGGCCAGGCTGATCTAGAACTTCTGACCTCATGTGATCTGCCTGCCTCAGCCTCCCAAAGGCTGGGATTCAGGCCTGAGCCACCACACCAGGCCTAAAACCTCCAACAGATTTTCTTCTTCTTAAGATAAATATTCTAGTTTAAAGATTCATGTGGAGAAGAAGAGAAAATGTTTGGCATATTCTTTTGTTAATCCCATTCTTACAATTCTTGTTGTTTTTACATATCTAAAATATATGTCAGAGAATGACACTGACTATAAGTTAGATAACAACACTGACCAATTCAGGCCATGACAAGCCAAGTTGGGCTATCAATATCTCTATAAATCAATCAATGAGAAAACAGCTTAATATAAAAATATTTGCAATAATAATAATAATTTGACAGTAGGTTAGAAAGCCCTGTCAAGTATGAAGTTTGGATGTTGTTGTGCTGTTAGTGTTTTTGAAGCAGGTAACACTACACTTCTACATTTTATTCTCTTGGAATAAGAAGTTCGAATGCTTTGTGTTCTACCATAGCTGCATTAAATCAAAAAAAGAAAAGAAAAAAAGGCAGAGATAAACATGCTAGAGATCCCTGAGGTGGGAAGAGCTGTGATTATTTAGAGAGCTGATGTGAAACAGACCTGACCAGGACTGAACCCTGTCAATAAGGTCTTGTTCTTCTCACCCAGGCTGCCTCTCAGACTTTCCAACCACACTGGAACATTCTGAACCAGTAGTGGCACCAGCTTCCTCCTCACTTCCTTGCCAGGCCTCTCGAGTGATAGGGCCCAGGCTGCACAATGAGTGGGAAACGAGCCGAGCGAGGGCTGCTGGTCCCCAGCCCAGGGGGCCCAGCTGGCCGCCCCCTTGTCCTTTCTCCAGGCCCCTGGGGGACTCCAGGAGAGACGCAGTATCTGAGCAGGCAGACGTCCGCCAAGCCAACAGGATGGTGGTTTCCGCCTCCTCTTGAAGCACAGCGTTGATAAAGAATGCTCCAATCAGACTAATGACTGAAATGTCATAGCAAATGAGAACCTACAACTACCATTAAGTTCAGATGCTTGACTCCTCTGAAACCAAGGAACAAAGAGACTAAATCTGTAACTCATTCAGTATGAACACAAGTAATCTGGTATAAAGTCCTGCCTAGGTTCAATCCTTGTTACAGAAAGCTTTTTAATTGTAAAGATAATGTCACAATGTGACCCTTTTAAGTTTAATTTTACACATGGGCTATTAAGGGTATCTATTTTATATTAAATGCCATACAGTTTTAAGCAATCACTGTGGCTTTAACATTTGCAAGACACAGAAATATTTTCCTTTTTTTTTTTTTTTTTTAATATCGAGGTGGGTTTCACTCTTGTTGCCCAGGCTGGAGTACAATGGTATGATCTCTGCTTATAACCTCCTCCTCCTGGGTTTAAGTGAGTCTCCTGTCTCAGCTTCCTAACTAGGATTACAGGCGCCCACCACCACACCTGGCTAATTTTTCTATTTTCAGTAGGTACAGGTTCCACCGTGTTGGCCAGGCTGGTCTCAAACTCCTGACCTCAGGTGATACAGTCACCTCGACCTCCCAAAGCATTGGGATTACAGGCGTGAACCACCCATCACACTCTCACAAGAACTAAGCTAGGAAGGTGGGCAGATATTTGGCATCTTGGGCAACTGAGGCACAGGGAGGTTAGCCAACTTTTCTAATATCACACTAGTTACAGGCAAAGCCAGGACTAGAATTCACACCATCCACTGTTTTGAAGTAGAAAATAATCTCTTTCTTCCCACTCCTCTACCTAGAACCTACCAAAACATGTCAAACCTCAACAAAATAATAAAAGGACCATAAAAGATCCATTTTCTGACCAAACTGATTTAGTCATTTTCCATTACAGGGTTTTTATGGATTAAACAGTGTTTCCAGTGTTAATCAAGTGACCCAAACATAGATAAGTCATGTAATTTTATAATACTCCAGAGCTCAGAGGAGGGAGAAAGGATACAGCACCTGAGATTTTCCAGGTCTGAGTTTTTTTGGGCACTTGCACTGCCCATGCAGTGGTTCAGAGTGTTTAAAGGTGGATTTGGATTGCTGGTGGTTGTAGGTCCAGCTTTGAGGCTAAAGGGCAGAGCCCCAGAGTCTCATAGGGCCAGATTTCAGTGTTCCTGATGCTATCCTGTTCTTCTGATGGGATAGACCCTCACTTTTCATGGAGTACTCAGAAATGTTCCAGACAGAGTCATGTAAAAATTAAAGAGTAATTCCAGAAATGCACAAAATCATATTTTGACTATTGTATGAAAACTTAAAATTCTGCAACTATGAAAAGCTGAAAGTAACACAAAGTTTCCCCCTTCTCTCAATGGCCACAGATGGCTGAAAAAAGACTGACTGATCTCACATCCACACACACACACCACATACCCCATCCAAACAAATATGTACGAGGGCAAGCCATCCTCCTGCAAGACAGAAAGACTAGTATTTTTCTACTCTCTTCCAATACAAATGAATGAATAGCCCTGACAGACAAATAAAAAGGGAACTTTCTTATATGCAATGTGAGAACCTGGTCCCTCTGAACTGCATGCTAAATCATACTGTATGTTTCTACTTAAGCACCCTGTGGCAGCTTCTTTGAACAGGATAAGGTCAATAGCGGCACCAGCTAAAGAAACCATGCCATTAATAAAATGAATCTCTTTGTTTAGATCATCTCAAGCATCAGGAAACAGAATACCCACTTGTGCAAGAAGAAAAAGCACTCATTTGCACTGCCTTTTATGTTCTTTAACTCTATGTTGTCTAATTACTCCTAAACCATCTTCCCAGCTAATCAGAATTAACAATATCAAGGTAATCTCTATCTCCAATAAACAAAATATGAACACCTCAATGATTAA